CTTATTACACGGCTACTTGCCACATAAGTAAATAATTAGACAAGAAATATTGATTTGAGTTGAAATATTTGAATGCAAAGCTTCCGTGAAGACAGCAGTTGTGAGCAAGCGGTTCAAACTAGACGGACATTTAAGGGATAGGGTGCAGTCAAACCACTTATTACACAACATTTCACCACATAAATAATTATGGTGATAAAAGATTTAAGACAAAAATGTTTTGTTAGTTATCTTATAATCCATTACAGTGTGCAAAACAATCGTTGCAAAATGGCAACAGCTGCGCTTGTATGAAACGAGAGAGCGAGTCCGCGATACCAGGATGACATAATTAAATAATTGTACACAATTTTGAATCGAGTTTTAATATTTTATTAGCTAAACAAACGCAAAGCTTCCACCAAGAAAAAACTGTTCCTAGCAAGAGTACGGCGCCAACTTCAGTTACCCGGATGAGCCTGTGTTATCAGCTTTTACCGGTTGTTATCGAGGGATAACATACCTCGAAATGTTGCGACTGACTAATCAGAATCAAGTATTCCACAGAGCTGTGTAATAATAAGAATTATGAACTCTAGACTGGTTTAGATATGTGAACATAGAGAGTATTTAGTTAAACCTTTGCGGATCTTTCACAGCTACAGCAAACAACAAATCTCACGGCCAAGACTTGATCTGATTTCAGAGGAAGTTCAGCAGCTGAACTCAGACGACACCTCATGCAGTCACCATATGCTCAGCACTAGACAGTGTAAACCTGTACCTCATCTATTTATAATCATTTTAATCAGTGCAACTCTGCCTTTGTGTCAAATCATGGCTTTACATGGCTGCACAACTGTTGAGTTAAGATAAGGACTGTCCTGAAACACTCACATTTGTTTCTCTTTTCCAGCGGGTGCTGTCTTGTTTACTGTTTATCAGCTAAAATGGGCCCATGTAGTGAATTTAGTACTCAATTTAGTCTTACAGCAGACGTTAGTATCATTGCATTCAGCACATATAAGAATTGTGACTGGAAAATGATGACTGCCTAGCATGGTTTGCTGAAATCAGTATAGAGTTAGCTTTATACTGACACAAAGAAAAATATAACACAGGAAATAGAAACTCCTGTTCACACGTGAGGACGTTCTCGTGATCTTCTTAAGTCGCAAATACAGCAGATCCCCTAATCCACTTTCAGCTACTTTTGGAGTCACACGCTGCACATCGTTGAGTGGAAGATGACAGCAAAGATCTGCTCCATACAAACCAACAATGACATGAATGGCTAAAGTCACTATAATTTACCTATTTAAACTTTCTGCTGCCAAGGACCCGCAAATATGATGATCCCCTTGCAAAGTACCCATTCCTAAAATATAAAAGCGGATTTGCATTTATAGTGTGTATAAAGAAAATACTAAATGTGATGTTATAAAAACAAAAATATCAAATTTGGTAAATGTTAATATACATTTTTTTTATAATCAATATGTATTTATTTATGTCTACTGAAATAAATACATATATTGCATTATTACTAGTGCTGTCAAACGATTAATCGTGATTAATCGCATGTTTACATAATATATGTATGTGTACTGTGTATATTTATTATATATACATAAATACACACAAATACAGTATATATTTCGAAAATACCTTAATGAAACATCATCTCATGAAGTGAAGATGGATGAAGACTCACCGGTGGGCTTTTCCTCCTTTTTCTCTTCTTTTTTTTCTTCATCTTTCTTTGCATCTGCCTTTTCCTCCTGTTAACACCGAAAATGTTTTTCTTTCTTTCTTTCTTTATCACAACACATTTCCAGTTTATAGCAGTGATGTTTGAACGAATGAGAGGCGTGCCATTAACTGTTCATTCAACTGCATCAGCTGACAAGGAGTAAGACGTGCAAATGCAAATAGTTTTATTTGTGAGCATCAGGGATATCATCTTTAACTATAACCATAAAACATTTCCTTGAACACTTTTACTCGTTACTTGAAATAAAAGACCAAAACAAACAAAACAAAAAAAAAACGTATTTCAGCTAGTTGCAACAACAACAGTTCTAATTTGTGTTTGCTAAATTAAGAGCTAAAATAACTAAAACAACAAAAAAATAAAACTAAGAAATTTATGCCTTTTCATCTAACCCTTTAAAAATGAGAATGTCTCCAGGATTCCAGATGAAAACATCAATCGTACTTTAAAAAATGTACACAGAGAATTGCAGTTTCCCTTAATGAAACATCATCTCATGAAGTGAAGATGGATGAAGACTCACCGGTGGGCTTTTCCTCCTTTTTCTCTTCTTTTTTTTCTTCATCTTTCTTTGCATCTGCCTTTTCCTCCTGTTAACACCGAAAATGTTTTTCTTTCTTTCTTTCTTTATCACAACACATTTCCAGTTTATGGCAGTGATGTTTGAACGAATGAGAGGCGTGCCATTAACTGTTTTACACTCAGTGAAAGCCTGCATCAGCTGACAAGGAGTAAGACGTGCAAATGCAAATAGTTTTATTTGTGAGCATCAGGGATATCATCTTTAACTATAACCATAAAACATTTACTTGAAAACTTTTACTCGTTACTTGAAATAAAAGACCAAAAAAAAAAAAAAAAAAAAAAAAGATTTT